TTTCTAATATCCCTTGTAATTTTTTCTTTGTCCTATTAATTATTTAGTAATGTGTTATTTGATTTCCACATATTTGTGAATTTTCCAGTTTTTCTTCTCTTATTGATGTCTAGTTTCATTCCGTTGTGGTGAGAGCAGATACCTTGTATAATTTTAATCTTTTAAAATTTATTGAGACTTGTTTTATGGCATAATATATGATCTACCCTGGAGAGTGTTCCATGTGCACTTGCCAAGAATGTGTACTCTGCTGTTGTTGAGTGATGTGTTCCATATTGTCTATTAGGTCTAACTGGTTTATAGTGTTGTTTAAATTCTCTATTTTCTTATTGATCTTCTATATACTTATTTTATCAATTATTGAAAGCAGGGTATTGATATCTCCTATCATTATTGTAAAACTCTCGATTTCTCATTCAATTTTGTTAATTTTTGTTTAATATATTTTGGGGCTCATCTTCCTGAGAATATTTATTTATAGTTATCATACCTTCTTCATGGATTGACCCTTTTACCAGTATTTAATGTCCTTTTCTGTAACTTGTTAGCAGTTTTCGTCTTAAAGTCTATTTTGCCTGATATTAGTGTATCAACCCCAGTTCTCTTTTTTGATTATAATTTGCATAAAATATATTTTTTTGTTTTTTCACTTTCAGGCTATTTGTGAGTCTCTTCTAGACAGAATATCATTAAAGCATATTTTGTTAATACATTCTGCCTATCATTTGTTTTTTTATCTGGAGCATTTAATCCATTGACATTTAGAGAAATTACTGACAAAGGACTTACCTGTGTGATTTTGATATTTGTTTCCTGCATATCATATTTTTTGGTTCCTCAATTCCCTCCATTACTGCTTTTCTTTGTATATAGTTGTTTTTCTGCAGTATAACGTTTTGATTCCCCTTTCGTTTCCTTTTCTGTATACTTTTCAGTTACTTTTAGTGGTTATTCTCAGAATTATAATTGACATCTTAATTTTACAACTAACAAGTTTGAATTCATACCAAATTAGCTTCAATGGTAAAAACAAACAAAAAAATCTCTATTCCTGTAAAGCTTTTGTTCCTCCCCCTTTATGCTGTTATTGTCACAAATACATTTTTATAATTATGCTCCCATTAACATAGATTTGTGGTTATTGTTTTATGCATTTTTTCATTTAACTAATATTGAAAAATAGAAATTACAAACCAAAATACAGTGATAATACTGGCTTTTATATTTGTCTGAGTAGTTACCTCTTTATTAGTGTTTTTTTATTTCTACTTATGACTTTAAGTTATTGTCAGGCCGGGCTCGGTGGCTCAGCCTGTAATCCCGCGCCTTTGGGAGGCTGAGGTGAGTGGATTGCCTGAGCCCGCGGGTTCGAGACCCGCCTGGGCAGCTTGGCGAGACCTCATCTCTACGATAAATCAAAAAATAGCTGGGCGTGGTAGTGTGTACCTGTAGTTCCAGCTACTTGGAAGGCTGAGGCGGAATGATCGCCGGAGCCCAGCAGGTCGAGGCTGCTGTGGCTGGGAGCGGCCACTGCACTCCAGTCTGGGCGACAGAGTGAGACTCCAACTCAAAAAAAAAAAAAAAGTTATTGTCAAATTTTTTTTTTATTTTAGCTTAAAAGACTTCCTTTAGCATTTCCTGTAGAGCAAGATTGACTAGTGATGGCCTCCCTTAGATTTTATCTCAGAATATCTTAATTTCTCTTTATATTTAAAAGATAGTTTTGCAGCCATAAATAATTTTTGGTTGATAGTTTGTTTTCTTCCTTGTCCTTCCCTGGGTGCATAGGATTTGAAGAAAGTTTTTTGTTTTGTTTTGTTTTTTCCCCTTTATATTTCTTCTGGACAAAATTGTTCTTCTTCTGTCTCTGGTAACAGCAAGTTTTGTTGCCCTTCTCTCAGCAGCTCAAAGCTTTTGTTCTATAAGGGAAAAGGATCTGGGAAGGGCTTTGTGCCTTTCCTTCAGTGGTGGCCACTGCCCTCCTCCAGGCCTGTACTACCAAAGGACATTTTCTCCATCTTCCTGCCTGTTCCCTATCTTTCTGGTGAAGACTTGGTACACGTTTGTAGAAAAGGGAATGCAAGTGGAAATGAACACTCCTTTTGTCTCTGGCACCCATGGGGTCTGTACTCTAAATGTAACCCACACTCAGCCTTTAACAATTTATTAAAATTTTATCTGAATTCTTCTTAACCCCTTTGATGGTGCTATGAATCACTTCCTCCCATGATCTGTCACAAATCAATCAGTGCTTGTGTCCCATTTCCTCTTAGTTATACGTGTAGTTCCTTAGATTTCAGGCTACGTAGTTGCTCTGTGACCTCAACACTTTAATGATTTTATAGTTTATCTAGCTTGTTACTGATGGATTGAATATGAAAGGTAAGGTAAAGAGAGGGAACAAGTATAACTGCTAAAATGTTGGCTTGAGCAACTGGGTAGCTAATGGTGTCATTAACTGACATGAGAAAGAATGGAGAGGTGTAACTTTGGCTAGGGGCATAGATTAAAGAGTTGTGACTTTTGTTAAATTTAAGATGCCTATCAAACATCTCAATAGAAATGCCAAGTAGACAGTCAGAGTTCAGGGCTAAGATATAAATTTAGGAGTGTTCTCTATATAGATCACATATAGGTAATTAAATGTAATTATTACATACGGATATCTACGTATAGATAACTTAAGCTATGAGATTGCTTCCTCTTAAGAAATGGGTATCAGATAAAAGGGAAATTGGAACTCCCTTTTTCCAAAGACTGAGTTGGAAAAATTCAACTCTGGGAAGCTCTAGCAGAGAAGGAATCAGGTAAGGATACTGAGAAGGAGCTACTAATGTAGTAGTAGGAAAACTAGGTGATTAGTTACCATAAGAGAAATAGTTTCAAAGAGGAGGGAGAAACCATAAGAGAAATAGTTTCAAAGAGGAGGGAGTCATGTACCATGTCAATTACCTGACAAGAGTATTCTCAGTGGAAGGTTGGGGCAGGAACTCAGTTGGTGATGGTTGAAGAAACAATGCAACATGAGGAAGTAAAGATAGTGACTATAAGTCTTACAAAAAAACAATTGACTGAGACTGGGTGTGGTGGCTCATGCCTGTGTGGTGGCTCATCCCAGCACTTTGGGAGGCTAAGGCGGGAAGATTGCTTGAACCCAGAAATTCAAGATCAGTTTGGGCAACATAGCGAAAACTTAATCCTACAAAAATAAAATAAAATAATTAGCTGGATGTGGTGGCACGTGCCTATAGTCTTAGCTCCTTGGGATGCTGAGGTGGAAGAATTGCCTGAGCCTAGGAAGTCGAGGCTGCCCTGAGCTGTGATCACCATGATCATGCCATTGCACTCCAGCCTGGGCAACAGAGTGAGACCCTTCACCTAAAAAAAAATTGGCTGGAATAAAAGCAGACAGGAGATGCTGAGTGTTTCTCAACCTTGGTACTATTAACATTTTGAGCCAGATGATTATCTGTTGTGGAGGGTTGTCCTGTACATTATAAGTTATTTAGCAGCATTCCTGGCCTCTACCTGCAAGATACCTGGAGCAAGGCAAAATGCTCCAGTCATTTGAACCAAAAATCTTTTCAGACATAACCTAATGTTCCCTAATGGTGCAATATTTTCCCCAGTTGAGAAACTCTGCTCTAGAGAAATACTTGAACTTAAAATTTTGGCGCTGGTGCTGACAAGATCAAGGGTATGACCATGGGAGTTGGGTGACTGAAGAGAAATGGAGAAAAGATCACTGAAAGCAGGAAATCCAAGAAACTGAAAGACCAAGTCATGATCACAAGATGAAAATAAAAAATAGTAGCAGGTATACTAGTGGCACGAACTTCTAAAAGCTAGCTTTTTGAAAGACAAGAGAGGAAAATGTAAAATGCTAACTGATGGAATTATTGTACAGACTTATTTTAGAGACATAGTAGTTTCACTAGCAATCTGTGAGAACAATTTTATGAAAATATTCCTGAATTTCATGTAGGCAATTCAAAGTGAAGTGCCAAACAGCTAGGTGTTTAAATGGAATATTTAACTTTTTTTTCCTACCAACCAGATACCGCTGTGCCTACTATAAGAAAGGGATTGGCAGTAGCAGGATACTGATGGAATAAGTGGAGGGGTGGACACAACATCAATAAGGGTTCCTTATCTCAAACTAGGCAAAGTGGAGCCCAAAGCAGGTCCACACTTTACCTGTAAGATGACCACTTATACCTAATACTGAATTGTACCCCACAGCTTTAAGATAAAATAATAACAAAAATAAAACTTCAAAAAAATAACTACTAAACAGAAAACCTTTGTGAATCACACCCAAATCTCCACAAATATGAGCCAAACTAACTAAAGTGATATCTTAAATCACTAAAATTCAGGGTAATTTGTCATGCAGCAAAACTAACCAACTGCCCATGGATTAGCCACTAATATAATATCACATGTCTTTGGTAATGCATCACAAACTATAACTATCTTCTTTATTGGATGTTCTTTCCCTTGAGAATGTAATCTCTATGAGGACAGGGGCTTTGATATCCTTATTGTACTACTATGTGCCAATAAGTATTTGTGGAGTAAATAAGTACATCTATTTTGTGGAATTATTTTGAAGGTTAAATAAAATAACATAAATACCAAAAAATGCTACAATATTTCAGTCACAGCATCAGGGGACAGGGCAATGAGTAGAAATACAGATGACGACAGGTCAGTAGATTAGATGATGACAAAAGGAGTTCCTGCCTAATCATTGACATAAAAAGTAAGTTGACTCTATCATTTAAATGTATCTTATAATTCTTTCTGTTTAGTGACTGTTATCCTTTATAATGATCAGATATTGCCCAGGAAGCCATTTTTAATATCTTCTGCATTCTTAAAAAGAAGATAAAATTATATCTGTGATCCAATAGTTTTCTAAGAATAGCATTTACTGTCAAATATTCTATATGCTATATGAAATTCATATATGAATATTGAATGCACTTTTTTTAAAGACACAAGGACAAAAGAAAGTTGCTAGCATGATGGAAAGTAAAGATGTACACAAAGGAATATTTCAGATTGAGTGGGAACATAAGAAAATGGAGATGGAAATGGAAGATCTAAATCAAAAGGCCTGGGATATTCAGATGCTTTTCTTTTCAAGAGATCGTCAAAAAGTAAGTTCTCATTGCTCCCTATGTAGTTTTAATTGTATTAATGTATTCACCCATTTAATCAGTATTTAATAAGTATCCTCTGTGATGTCATATTTTAAGTCAGTAGTATTTCCTACTGTATATATGAATTCTGTCCTTTTTCTTCTAGTAGTTTATATTTACTGCTTCCACTTCTTCGTGAACCATTCAGTAGAATAATTCTATCTTAACAGTTCACTAGGGATTTTCTAATTGTCAAATCCATCCTTCAATTACTATCCTCTCTCTCTATTCTCTGTGGCATTTTACCATTCTAATCACCCATTTCTTTGGCGTTCATCACTTCTAATTTTTCTTCTAACATGTCAGTCAGACCACTCTGCCTCTTTTACTGGATTCTCTTTTACCTCTAACTCTTCAATATTGTCATTCTTCAAGATTCTTCCCTTAGCTCTGTGCGTACTTCTTTCCATTTCTCTCCACTGATGATCTCCTTTATTTTTCTAAGTTCCACAATTACTTCTGAAAGACAAATCCAAGCTCTGTGGATTTCAAGCCAAACCCCATTTCTATGGTTCCCATCTCTCAGCAACTCCTCTCCTTAGTTTGCTTATTTCTGTTCTTTTCAGCCATTAACTCAGGCTTGAAGTTTTAGTTATCTCTGGTTCTCTTCTTTCCCATGCCTTCCAAGTCTTGCCTACTATTAATTCCCTCATTCTCTGTCCCCACTGTACATGCCCTGGTTCAGTCCTCCATTTTCAATGGTTTAAACAGTCTTATAATTAATCACTAACTGGTCTTGACCCTGGGTCTTTCTATTGTCTAATCAATACTGTATACTACTGCTAGATCAGTATTCCTGTTCAACTGTAATAACATTATGATCCTGCTCAAACGATTTAAACTGCCATTTCTTACCTGGCAGATGAATTATGAAATCCCTAGGTGGGCAGTGTCTTTGAACTTAACTTTTCAAACTCATTTCCCACTCTTCTACTTACACATCAGTATTCTCAAATCAAACTTATGACTGTTTTCTAGGATTCTACTTCTAGGCTTTCACACATACTAGTTCTTCTACCTGGAATTCCTTTCCTCAACTTTTTTGTGCATCCCAGATCTATCAGTTTTTAAAGGTCTAGTTTAAATGCCTCCTCCTTTACAAAACTTTTCTTGATTTCCTAAGCCTGGAGAAATTTCATCCCATCACAAACCACCTTTGAATTTGCATGACACCTTATATATCTTCTGGAAACCCACCTATATGTTCCTTTTTTCCTTGAAATCTTGAGCGTGTTATCTATCTTAGTGAATCCTTCAGTGACTTTAACTGAGACATTGTTAATATGGGACTCAAGTGGAACACTTAATGTTTGATGAGTTGAATAAATGAGAAAATAAACTCTAGACATTTGCAGTAATGAGTGTATTGAGTGTAATAATTATTGTAAATAAATGTATTGATGGCTAAATATGAGTAAATATAAGGCACAAAAGTTAAATCAGTCAATTTACACAGATATCTATTATTTAAAAAATAGAAAAATCTTCTTACAGATATTGTTGTTGTGGTTTTGTCTCATAGTACCTAAATGAACCAAACTATGAGACTCTGATTGCTATTCAGATTGGAATAATGGAACAAACCATTGCTGTTTTAGATAAGGTAAGTCTCAAAGATAACTATTATAATCTGAACAGTTTGGGCCCAATTTTGGTCCCCAATTCGCCCAGTTTGAGATTGGTATCCTGATTGATGAAGAGTGTCCCCCCACCCCTGGCAGTGTCTTGCTACTGCCAATCCCTTTCTTATAGTATTATAATTGTTCAGGGTCCACTTTATGAGTGAGAACATGTGGTACTCAGTTCTTCATTTCTGTGATAGATCACTGAGTATTATAGACTCTAAATCTATCCAAGTTGCTGAAAAGTTAATAACACTGGAATAGACTGGAGCACTTTATTAGAATTAACTCCTTGATACTAGGCATGGTGACTTATACCTGTAATCCCAGCACTTTGGGAGGTCGAGGTGGAAGGATTGCTTGAACCCAGAAGTTCAAGACCAGCCTGAGCAATATAGTGAGACATCTCTACAAAAACCAAAATACACTGGGTGTGGGTTCATTCCTGTAATACCAGCTAGTCGGGAGGCTGAAAAGGATCCCCTGAACCCAGGAGGTAGAGACTGTGGTGAGCCATGACTATGCCATTGCACTCCAGCCTGAGTGACAGAGTGAGACCTTGACTCAAAAAAAGTAAATAAATAAATAAAAGAATTAACACCTAGGAATATATGAGTGTAAGTGAATTTTCTATTTCACATTCGATTGTGATTTATGTAATAGATGTGTTGATATCTTTCCTTGCCATTGAAAAGAGTTTATAATTTTATCATAACAAGTAACAAATGGTCAGTTTAGATTATACAGAAGAAAAAAACAAAGTAATCTCAAGCTTTTAAAATATTATCTCATTTAAGAAAATACAAAATTTTTCTAAAATGTGATATTAACATACATTCTATTTTTCAACAAATAATTTGAGTGCCTACTATGTGTAGATGGTATGACAGGTACTAGGGATATGGTGGTAAGATGTTATCTTAGTGATGATAATGTCTTTAAAATACAAGAATAACATCTTATAAAACAAATCACATTTTTTTCCAAAATTAATTTTGTGGGTGTCATGGGAACAAAAATTTCAGACTCACAAAAAGAATGTGGAAAACTGCAAAAAGCTACTAAAAAAACTGGAAAAGTTCAGCAATCAAAAAGATGTATCAAATTACACCCTAAGCTGCAGTCTTCGAGAAGAGTTGGTAGCTGTCTCAGAGAGAAAAGACATCTGTAATGCAATGGGTAAGTATTTTTAAAAATCACTTGTATGTTTATTTTAAAGTAATCAGTATTCCTGAAATCTATACAACAGTTATAAAGCTACCAGCATTTCTTCCATATATTTGATTATGAATGCTGCTTCTATATTTGAAAGTACTGATAACAATCTAATTGCTTTTTTCTTCATTTTTTGGATAGGGTCTAAACTGACTTGTGAAAAGATTGACAAAGAACGATATGAAAACATGATGCAACAACAGAAGTTAATAAATCTTTCAAAACAACAAGCAGAACAGATTTCAATACTACAGGCTGAAGTTGAAAGATTGAGAATGAAAACATTTCCGGCTCTTGTTCAAATATAAAAATGCTGCCAGGAAAACACAAAGCCAAATCAATCATTTAAAAAATCATTTCATGTGGGTAAACTGAATTCACTTTCCTTCATACTGTGAAACTTAAGTTGCATCTCCTCTTAGTTGCATGTTTTAGATAGCAAATTGTTTAATTTTAGCCTTAATCAGTATAGTACACATTTTTGTCCTGCATGAATAAATGTGTGAAATATCATGAATTGTTCTTTTTATCCAAGAATGAACAAGATTCTGAGTCAAAAAGAAAGTATTCAAGATCTACTTTATTTATTTTTTTATAGTCGATATTTTTTATTATGACATTGTGGGGTACAGTTAGGGGTTAGGTATACAAATATTCTTTGTTCAGGTACCCTTGTTGATAAAAGGTGTCTCCCCATCCCCAGACAGATGTTTACTGCCATTAATCCCATCTCCATTCCCCTCCCGCGCATGGTTTCCCACCACTATCAGTCATTTTCTTATGGTAATACGTTGGGTGATTAAGGTCCACTATATGAGTGAGAACATGTGATACTCAGATCTTTGTTTCTGTGAGAGGTCACTCAGTATTATAGACTCTAGTTCCATCCAGGTGGCTGAGAAATTCATGATTTTGTTCTTTTTTATGGCTGCATAATATTTCATCGTGTATATGTACCACATTTTTTAAATCCAGGCCTCTTTTGATGGGCAGCAGGGTTGCTTCCAAGTTCTTGCTATTGTGAACAATGCTGTGATAAACATTCGTGTGCAGGTATCTTTTTGATAGAGTGATTTGAGTTCTTCAGGGTATATTCCCAGTAGGGGGATTGTGGGATCATATGTGAGGTTGAAATTTAGAGCTTTTAGGAATCACCATACTGCTTTCAACAGAGGTTGCACTAGTTTACACTCCCACCAACAGTGTAGAAGTGTTCCCTTTTGCCACACCCTCTCCAGCAACTGTAATTTTTTGAGTTGTTAATTGCCATTTTGACTGGAGTTAGGTGGTATCTCAGTATGGTTTTGATTTGCATCTCCCTGATGATTAGTGAGGTTGAACATTTCTTCATGTGTCTGTTGGCTGCTCAGATGTCTTCCTTGGTGAAGTGTCTGTTCATATCTTTTGCCCATTTTATAATGGGGTTGTTTGTTTTTTTCAATTCAGCACGTTTGAGTTCCTTGTAGATCCAAGATGTTAAACCTTTGTCAGACCTGGAGTTGGCAAATACTTTTTCCCAGTCTGTAGGCTGTCTCCCTGCTCTCTTGATGGTTTCTTTGGCTTTGCAGAAGCTTGTCAGTTTAATGAAGTTTCACTTGTCTATCTTATCTCTTATGGCCTGTGGGTTTGGGGTTTTGTTCAGGAATTGGATGCCAGTTCCAATTTCCATGAGGGTATGTCCTTCATTTTCTAAGATTCTTATGGTTTGAGGTTTTACATTTAGGTCTCTGATCCATTTGGAGTTAATTTTTGTGTAAGGGGTCCTGTTTCAATCTTCTGCATGTGGTCAGCCAGTTTTCCCAGCACCATTTACTGAATAGGTTCTCCTCTCCCCAGTGGTAGGTGGTGGAGGCTTTGTTGAAGATGAGTTGGTTGAGAAATTGAGCTTTTGCTTCTGGAATCTCAGTTCTATTCCACTGATCTATATGCTTGTTCCTATACCCGTACCAAGCTGTTTTGATGATTGTAGCTTTATAGTAAAGTTTGAAGTCTGGTAATGTGATACCGCCTGCTTTGTTTTTTTGACTGAGGATTGTTCTGGCTATTCTTGGTCGTTTGTGTTTCCATATGAATTCCTGTGTTGTTTTTTCTAGGTCTGAGAAGAATGTTGCTGGTAATTTGGTGGGTATTGCATTGAATCTGTACATTGCCTTAGGTAGGATGGACATCTTCACAATGTTGATTCTTCCCACCCATGAGCATGGGATATTTTTCCACTTGTTTTTGTTATCTTTGATTTCTTTGAGCAGAGTTTTGTAGTTTTCATTGTAAAGGTCTTTCATGTCTCTGGTTAGGAAGATGCCAAGGTATTTCTCTTTTTTTGTGACTATTGTGAATGGAATTGTGCTTTTTATTTGGGTTTCTGTTTATTATTGGTGTAAAGAAATGCGATTGTCTTTTTCACATTTATTTTATATCCTGAGACTTTGCCAAAGGCCTTTATCAGTGTAAGGAGGTTTTTGACAGATTCTCTTGGGTTTTCAAGGTACACAATCAAATCATCTGCAAAGAGAGATAACTTGACTTCCTCTTTTCCTATTTGGATACCCTTGATTGCCTTCTCTTCTCTGATTGCTTGAGCCAGGACTTCCAATACTATGTTGAACAGGAGGGGTGAGAGTGGGCATCCTTGTCTTGTTTCAGTGTTCAGGGGAAATGGTTCCAATTTTTGTCCATTTAGGAGTATGTTGGCTGTGGGTTTCTCATAGATGGCTTTTACTATTTTGAGGTATGTTCCCTGTATGCCTAGATGTTCAAGTGTTTTTATCAAGAAGGGGTGCTGGATTTTATCAAAAGCTTTTTCTGCATCTAATGATATAATCATATGGTTTTTGTTTTGACATCTGTTGATGTATTTAATTACATTTATGGTTTTACAAATGTTGAACCAGGTTTGCATTCCTGGGATGAAGCCTACTTGGTCATGATGGATGATTTTTGAGATGTGTTGTTGAATCCGGTTTGCTAGGATCTTGTTGAGAATTTTAGCATCTATGTTCATCAAAGATATTGGCTGTAGTTCTCTTTCTTTGTTGGGTCTTTACCTGGCTTGGGCATTAATGTGATGTTAGCTTCGTAAAATGATTTGGGGAGAGTTCCATCTTTCTCAATCGCCTGAAATACCTTCAGTAGAATTGGAATCAGCTCCTCCTTAAATGTCTTGTAGAATTCTGCTGGAAAGTCATCTGGTTCAGAGCTTTTTTTTGTAGGTAGTTTTCTTATTACATAGTCTATTTCCTTGATTGTTATTGGTCTATTTAGGGTCTCAATTTCTTCTTGTTTCAGCCTAGGCAGGTTGTGTGATGACAGAAAGTCCTCCATTTCCTTGAGGTTTTCAAATTTATTTCCATACAAGTGTACATAGTAGTCTCTAGTGATCTTTTGCATTTCTTCAGGGTCAGATGTGACTTCATCTTTTGTGTTTCTGATTGTGCTTATTTGATTTTTTCTCTCTTTTTCTTGGTCAGTCTAGCTAGGGGACCATCGATCTTGTTTATATTTTCAAAGAACAGCTTTTTGTTCCATTGATTTTTTTGTATTGTCTTTTTGTCTTCTATGTCCTGGATTTGGGCTTTTATTTTGGTGATCTGGATTCTTCTGCTGAAATTAGGGTTTTTGTGGTCTTGCTTTTCCAGCTTCCTTAGGTGGCTTGTTAGGCTATTAATTTGTTATCCTTCCATTTTCTTCATGTGCATTTGTAGGGATATAAATTCTCCTCTTACTACAGCTTTCATGGCATCCCAGAGATTTTGGTAAGATGTTTCTTCATTTTCATTTGTTTCCAGGTATCTTTTGATCTCTGTTTTGATTTCATCATTGACCCAGGAGTTGTTTAGCATCATGCTGTTTAGTGTCCATGTCTTTGCAGTTTTTGGGGGGACCTTGTTGGTGTTAATGTTTATTTTTATTCCACTGTGATCCGAGAAGGTGCATAGTAAAATTTCAGTCCTTTTAAATTTGCTTATGCTTGATTTATGGCCAATGATGTGGTCAATCTTAGAATACGTTCCATGCGGTGATGAGTAGAATGTGTATTCTTTGGTCTGTGGATGGAGTGTTCTGTAGGTATCAATTAAGTCCATTTGGTCAAGAGTCAAATTGAGGTTCCAGATCTCATTGGTGATTTTTTGTCCTGATGATCTGTCTGGGGTTGTGAGTGGGGTATTAAAGTCCCCAGTTATGATGGTGTTGGAGTCAGTATCTTTCCTTAGTTTTCCTAAAAGTTGTTTTATGAAAGTTGGCGCACCTATGTTGGGTGCATATATGTTTAGGATAGATATTTCATGTTGATGGAGTGAACCTTTAATCATTATGTAGTGGCCCTCTGTATCTTTTTTAATTTTTGATAGCTTAAATGGTATTTTGTCTGAAATTAGGATCACGACTCCTCCTTTCTTTTGTGTTCCATTCACCTGAAAATTTGTTTCCCATACTCTTACTTTGAGTCTGTGCATGTCCTTTCTAGTGAGATGGGTCTCTTGAAGGCAGTATATTGTTGCCTGGTGATATTTTATCCATTTTGCCATTCTATGCCTTTTCAGTAGTGCATTTAGTCCATTCACATTCAGGCTAATTATTGAAATGTGAGAGTTCG